GTAAAAATAGCGATAAAAACAATTGATAACCTATACCCAAAGGTTAATGAACGTCATTTGATTTCTGCAACGTCATCTGAAGTGAACAAACTAATTCTAGCGGGCTCTGACCACAACGAAGAGCGAAAGCAAATTATGGGTAGGTCGACCGAGGGTCTTCTCGTCGATCACGAGCATTGATGGGCGACGAAAGTGAAAAACATGCAGAAGGCATCGGCATCGAGTAACACTTGGCAGTTATTAAGGCTTGTTAAGGATACAGGCAAAAATAAAACGGTGGTGAGTGAAACCGTCACCGAAAACAGTGAGATGCTGATAACCTTCCAGGACAGGCAACTAGAACGTTGGACAGAACACTTTAAAGCACAGTTCAACTGGGCCTCAGCAACACTTCATTTGCCCAACATCCAGCCTGAACCTGAATGGGATGTTCTTGACTGACAGATGCTACCTTGACGTGGTGGTCAGGTTTGTATATCACGATAAGCTGACCTAGTGGAAGGCTTATCCCCCCGAGATCCTACTATACCAGAAAGGTCTGTTGACCAACGGTTAGACCAAGAAGCAGTTGCCCTTGACATGTTCTTAAACAAAGAGCTGATGCATTTTGGTGGCTTAGATCAGTTATTAGTAGTTAGTGGTGACCGCAAACCACACGATGTATGTCCGACCACATCTTCCATAATACAGGCCAATTGTCTTCGCATCAAAAAGGCCGTATGTGATCGGCCTCAAGCAGATATCCCCTAAGCTCTGTGGTCACGCACCGGTTCTTTTTTGCTTCTCCTTATCTTTCATCTTATTTCTTTGCTGCTTGATGTGCTGATATGAAGTGCGGCAACTTGGACCGTTGTGCAGTAACACCGAGTTTTATTTTGTTATTGATGATAGTAATGACTACCTGTTAAGTCTTTTAAAGCATTTTTTTCGACAACCTGAATACCCGAAAACACAAAATTTGAAGATTATCTTCTCCCTTCTCTTTCAGAGCTTTTAGTTTAACGAATACTCCTCTTCTTTTTATATATTCATCAAGAGGCCAGTTTAGTCTGGTGGGGATACTTGAATTACATGGTTTGGATGCGGTTTTTAGAAATGGATTGTTTTTTTATTTGTTACTCAAAGCAACGTTCGAAATCCTTCACTTATCGACTATCATGTTTACCTTTTAGCCTAACTACTTTTGTGATTTATACTCATAGAGGTTTCTTTTAGAATATGTCCTGCAAATCTGCATGTATCAGACTGCCTACCTTCTTCATCTAGAAAGTTGCAGTTAGGTCGAACGCATATGTGATTATTGTTGACCATTTTGTACATAAAATAATGAGAAGTTAAAAACAGAACTGTTACTGACATCAAACGTTCGTACACCAATTAGATGATATGGACGCAACGACAAAAACACCTTTTAACAATAGTTACACTCAACGAAGATTGAAAAACTATGCTTAAAAGCTGAACTGAGAGAACGTTAGTCGCCATAAACACCACAAAATCGGTTTACTACAAAATGCTAAAACACAAACCTTCTCAAAGTATGAAACGTGTGCAAAAAGGATTTCGAAGCTCGAAAAGTGCTAAAAGCTGAAACGACTGAATTACTTCAAATCAAAGTTTATTAGAAAGCTCTTAACATGATTTACATAACAGAAGCCGAATTCGTCGAAGGTGTGGGAAAAGTTACTCCCTGTTTTCAAAGCGCGTGCAGGCATCCATAAATGCCTACCTCGATCCTAAGATAGTGAATAACCAAGAACAGTGGCACCTCTTCTTTGGACGAAGTAAATAAAAATAGCTGTGGTTTATACTTATAGACCTGAGTGAGATTATTATTACTATCGTTCATCTACTTGCAGTTTATGAGTAGCATAAAACCATTGTGTCCCAGTATCGCCCTGCTTAAAATATTTGGTTCAGCATCGGACCCTGTCCCCCATTTTCGGTGCGACTCAGCCCATATGAAAAATATTGACTGAATAACACTTGATCTATACTCTGGTCTACTGATCCATCCTTGTTCACGGTATCCAAAAATGAGGAACTATCCAGAAATCTGGAAGTCAGTGGTTGTAGCAGTGGATTTTCTTAGATATATTCAGTAAGGCTGTATATTACTTCTATGTACTAAAAAATAAGCACACTTCACAGAGTTTAACCTCTGGTGATTCCATGTTATTTTCTAAATTGCATTATTCATGTGTAGTTTGGTAGTTTAGATCACATACGGTTTTTGACGAACAGTTATTTTAGTAGCATTACTTGTCGGGTAACCAGACCGAGATTTAGCGGAAGCAAACAGAACGGAATAGATAAAAGAACCACACGCATTGTTTTTTTCAGCACTATTGCTATTGTTACCTGTGTTTCATCCATTTATTTGTATTCCTCTCCATCTCTGTCACCTCTTTTTTTCAAAGTTTTTCTAAGTGCCCTGAAAATAAAGCATGACCGTTAAAAGTAAAACACATGAGGAATTTACGTGCTTTCGATCATGTATGTTTCGGTAATATTGCAGTTTAAAATTGAAAACATAGTACCAAATGAATATGCAAGTCGGTCGATGTATTTATAAAACTTCAGCAAATAGGGCGACCTCGGCATTTCTTGCGTACCTTAGCACTGCCTTTTTCTATGCGCTATGGTAACCAAAATAGGATGAGGTTAGAAGAAAGTTAGGAATATTCAGGTCAAAACATGGTGTCAATGTATGAAACCTCAAACTGTCGATATTAACCGTGAAGACATGCGTACTGTTCAACTAGAGTCCTCGAGATGCTAGGAATCGGTATACGAAAACTCTCAGTAATGTGACCTAAAATCGATCACAGTGGTACAGAAATTTACTGTACGTAGTACTATTTAAAGTCCTGAAGATTTTTGCTGACCTTTATCTACTTACCATGTCTCCTCTCTTGTACTTCCGTCCACTATAACACCATTATTTTTCTATCCATTTTGTTATTTTCCTGCCGCTGGTAAATTAAAGCACTTTAATGCTTTTCTATACAACGTTCTAAGTTGATTTTTCTATCTGGCAAGTTCAAACACCCTTCCAGAAGTTGGATTAATAGCTGATATGAAACCAGATTGCTACAAATCCAAATGAATAAACGCAGGATATAGCGATAATGCGTGAATTCATTGGTTGTAGCTTTCAGCGATTTACAAACGTATGCACTTCCTGGTCGTGTGTGATTATGTATTTCTTGCCTGCAGAATACCTGAAACTCTCAAGGAAGCTGATATCTGATTTGTACGGAACAATCAAAGTGTTAAAACCTTGTCTGTCGATTGTTTTTTTATAATTTCACAACGCATTATACCTGAAAGCTAAATTATAGTCTTTTCTTTCTGATAAAGGCAGTATAAAGTAATTGTAATTAGTTTTGATAATAAAAGCATGATTGATTGCTAATTACTCAATTTCGATCTCTTTATTACTTATTTCTGAACCCACCAAAAAGTAGCTAAATTAATCAATAAGAACCAAAAGCAACTTATTCTAACTGACTCAGATGCATCTACATTCTATCCTCATCGTAGTTATCGTATCAAATTTCATTGTTGGTTCACTTCCCCCGTAGTCCCTTTTCATGCCTTTCTACTACTTTTGACCGCTTTATTCCTTACTTCTCTATCTTTCATTTCAGTACTTCCTACCTTGATGTGCTGATATGAGGTGCGGCAACATGGATCATTAAGCGGTAGTACCGGGACCTATGTTGGTGCTAGCTGAAATTATGCTAACATTTATCAGAATCAGTATAATATTCGAAGTTTGATGAGAATTCATAGTTAGATTGCTGTCCTCAATTTTTTTAAACACTATCAAAAAGGAATACGTTTCATTAGTGGCACTATAAAACCTTTAAATACGAATAATTTTACACTATAATGAATTAATGTTCAAATTCGTCCTTCATGTAGAGTAAACTCCAGTGACAACTAATAATATTTTCTAGCTGTATTCAAAGTTGGGGTTTACCTAACAATCTGACCTATTCTCCTAAAGGTTCATATACACAGTTCTAATACACACCAGTTAACTGTAACCGTGCTCAGATGCTAGTAAAGTAGATACAATGTTGTGAAACACTGTCATATTCCTAACCATCTATTTTGACATAAGTTGTTTTGAACACCTACTCAATATTCTTGTTTTGCTTAGGTAGCCAACTTTTACGTTGACTGTCACTAAACAAAATCAAGACGTGATTTCATCTTTCTATCTAGCCTCCTGCGATACAGCAGCTTGTGCTGTAAATGTTGACGGCTGGTTAGATGAAGCATGTGAACGACTAATTCTAACTGCGTTGTATAGAATACAGTTGTGATCGTGTGAAATCAATAAATTGACGCTAACATAGTGAGGAAAATATCGCAAACGATTGAGATATAAGTACACAAAACTGGAGTCTTCAGCTTAATTTTATCTATGACGAGAAGCTGCTCGAGCCAAGTCGCTTTTGAGTGGAGAAACGGCAAGCAGGAAGTAAGTTTTAAAAAACGTAAATAAAACCTTGGTCGTGAACTGTCTCATCACTCAAAGCTTTTTATCCGGACATCTTGACATATAAGCAATATAAGTATCATCCCATGACATATTGGAATACTAAGGTATTAAAATCATCAGTGACTTGAATACAACTTCCAAGTGATGAATTATAAGTTAGAACCCTCTCAGCTCATTATTATATGTTATTCTAACACAAAATCACTACTTTTGCTTCATTGCTAAGTTGCGTCATGTTGTTATAATGGGCGTTAGACTAAGGACTGCGTTTTCTTAGGGAGTAGATACCACTGAGTTCATTGAGATTTGTGTTGCATTCGTTATGAGACATTAATAAATCAAATATACAAGCATATTAAACAATAGTTCTCATCTTTATGTATCCATTTAATTTGCATATTTTCCTCTTACTGTCTTTTTTTTAGTAGGTATGGTGAATTTAATCTATTAGGAATTGTGTCATTATCCTATCCAACGCATAAATATGCTGCAAAGTTTGTTTATTATTAGTCGTTCCAAGTAAGAATTGAAATTAATTGTGTTTATTCTCAGTGAAATATGTTTGGAAAAACACTGGACGAAAAACCTCTCAAAGGCTGTTTGTGATAATTTTTTTGATGCTGTCACCAAATATGCACCAGGTGATGTACCACCTATTTTAGAGACCCTGAGCAATTCACTTATTCATATTTTGCGCAACAATTTATATTTTCTAGCTGTATGTGCTAACGAGAGTATGTTCCTTATATTTGTAAATTCTAATCTAGATAGTACCTCCTTTACTTGTCATAGAGTTCCTAGACTGTGTAAGCTCAATAGTTGAAGACTATTTTGGATCTACCACTGAAACATCAATCAAAGAAAATATAGTTTGCATATATGAGGTTAGATTTTACCCACTAAATTAGCCTAAGCATAACTAGATTTTAGATGAAATGCTTGACGGAGGGTTTCCTTTGGCTACAGAATCGAATATTCTTAAAGAGATTGTGCGTCCTTCCAACTTCCTTCAATCTCTCACGGATGCAGTTACTGGAAAAAGCACGAATGTTGGTTCTACGCTTCCTACAAATCAACTGTCAAACATACGCTGGAGACGCTCTGGTGTTAAGTACACAAATAATGAAACATATTTTGACTTGATTGAAGAGATAAATGTAATTATTGATCGTTCTGGGTATGCCATAACCAAGGAAATTTACGGATCAGTAAGTCTTTAGATGTATTTTTGTTATACCTAATGAATGTAATTGGCAAAAGACTATAGGACTAGGTTTCACACCCATTTGTGCTCACCGTTAGTACTTAGTTACTACTTCGAGGTGTATACTACTTCTGGCATACATACCCTTATTTACCAGTACTATTTGTTGATTCTAGTTTTACTTTAACAGACAGCGACAAAAGATTGTTAGTAACCATTATTTTACTGCGAAAATTATTATATTTTGCAAAACGGTATAGTAAGCAGAAATCAACAATTTCATCATCTTCCATTTTGTTCCATTTTTACGAAGTAATCCTAGTGAAACCTATGTATTGTGATAACAAACAATAAGGAGAAAAAATAAGCAACCCCCACATCTAGTGTATATGGACTTTTTTTCCGTATGGTTGTAAAAATCTAGGTAGATAAAATGGACCTACAATCCAAGGATTGGTGGTAAAGTGCATACTACTGAACCACAGACAAGCGTAACTTGATTTTTATGTTTGTCGTTTGTATACATTACCTAGCTACTTTCCGTTCATTGGGAATCAGTATACGTAAGTGGATTTGAATTCTAATTCAGTTTATAAATACAAAATAGATGGTCATTGTAATACTCCATGCATAGTAGGTTATCACTCAAGATTATTAACTGAAGCTCAAACATTCACGATAAGTTGTGAAGTTGGAAATAGTGACTATTTGGGAGCTAATAATAACCGTAACAGTAACAACTGAAAGAAAATTCTAAGTATGTAGTATTACCATATAAGGAAAGTAGTTCAGCAACTGTACACTAATTTCCTAATATTTTTTGGTCACTATGAGAGTTAGATTTTTATTCTCATCGATGAAGTGCATCATCTTAAGCATCTTTTCGGGCCAATTAAGCAGGATGGTTTAGTCAGTGGACTCAGGCAAAGACAAGTGTGTTGGGTACGTTACCCATCTGAGATCAGTTGTTTTTTTTCGTCACCGAACACAGATAGACTTAAGGAACGCAGTGCGACTTTGGAAGATAAAACAATGGATATTCAGTTGACGTTATAACTCAGTAACCTAGACATCTCTGATTCATATCCTGCTGCGGTTCAGACTTTTTTCGAGACCAATTAAATGTATATGTCAAAAAAATTCTAAGTGTACTTCCTAATTTTTATATGGATGTGATCGTATGACTATGAAAACAACCACAAATAGAACTTTCTGCATTAAACTAGGAGTTTTAAAAGTAGTGTCAATTACTTCTATGTCTATAATCGAACACAGTCATAAATATCGTGGAAAAATGCAGCAGTTGTAAAAACCGGTTCACGTAGATAAAGAGGTTGACTAGTAAATTAATCTAACTAACATCTAAAATGACCACCAGAAATGGTTAGGCAAATGCTCAACATATGTTGAAAAACCCAGAATCCGTAAAGACGAAACTAAAGGCTAGGTTGTCAAAAATTTATTCGAAGTTATATGGTCACCTGAAAATTACTATCCAGGTATAATGCAAGTCCATGACCCAGATGTCAAATACGGACTATGTTGTTACAAGTTCAAAATTAATTGAACTACTTCAGCTTGTATATCTGTTTGGTGTTATAGGCCCTCACACCGATGTAATTCATGTGTCACCTTACAGAGCTGTATTATTAAGTTTATCTGTTCGTATTTATCTTTGGCAGTAGATTATGTTGGAAAATGTATCACGTACACATCGTATTAGTTCATAGTATATACCACAAATAAACAAGCTGAAGATTTTGTTTTACTGGATTGGGGATCGAACTTTAAACGTTAACATAGATGTTCTTAAAGGTCTTCAAACTACTACTCATTTTATTCTCTAGGTATCACGCCAGACAGCTCTTCACTCAGAAAACATGGTATCTGTTACCTAAAAACATTATTACTATTATTATTATTATCCTGGAATATTCCAGTAAAAATCTAACCACACTCAAATAAACCGGCATATTCTGACAGCTAATTTCCACCTGAACCAGTTATTTATCTTTAAAAACTGCACTGAAACCGCATAAGTTTCTAGTAAACCAAAAATATATTCCCCATTTATGTGTATCTGACTTCGTTGATGTAAACAATTTCATATCAGAACCTTAAAATACAGATAGTTCAGAACATGCATTTTTTCGTATTGTGTATCATTTACTAACAGGTGGAATGTCTCATCAAGTTATCTGGAACTCCAGATTTGACAATGGCTTTTACAAATCATCACCTGATTGATGATGCCAATCTTCACCCATGCGTTCGATTTTCTCGATGGAAGAGAGAAAAGATTTTATCTTTCATACCTCCTGACGGAAAGTTCTGTCTCTTTAACTACCATGTAAACTCATTAAGGTGAGCAAAAATTGTCATGAGATTATACCCTGTGAACTGTGAATCCATATCTTTATCGGTGTTTCCACTGAACAACTGAAATAGACAGATGGACAAGTCAGTGTAAAACCGGAGTACATAAGTGCATTGGACCAAGTTGCTAAGCTGCACAGCAGCACATAAAGAACAAGAATGGATGTGAAAAGAGTGACACGAAAGTAATAAAAGTGTATAGGAGGGGAGTGAATAAAAATGAAGGTCAGTGCTGAATTTAATCTATTAGAAATTGTGTCATTATCCTATCCAACGCATAAGTTTGAAGATGCCAGAGAGTGAGTGGATACATCCTCGCCATTGTTATCGATTTTGAACCATATCACAAATTGTCTGCCTCCACCACTAAAACCGACATCCAGTGACTTCATGGACTGGTTCCATGTTTTGATTTGATCACTCTTGGCCCTCTTCCAATCCGATCCTTTTCCGTCTGAAATCAAATGTTGAGGCAAGAGTTGACTCGCTATGCGCAATACATGTCCCAGTTCCGTCGTTGAGGGTTCGTAACCTCGTCGACTAACTTGCTTTCCTCGACTAGTACGTTTTGTCTGACCTTAACATTGTTAACTTAGTGATCCTATCATGCGCTAACAATGGTGTGAGGACTTTTGTGTTTAGTAGCTTGTAATCTCTTCATATCTTCTGCTTTTAATGGCCATATCTCCCAGCCATATAACAGGACAGAAAAAACTCCAGCCCAGTATACTCTTCCCTTAGTAGGCAGTTGGATATCTCACCGGCCTCAGAAATAGAGCAACTCGGTAAATATCAAACAATCTTTCTTTATCCGAGGTGAGATTGGGTCAGCTACCAGCCCATTTTGGCCGATGAAACTCCCCAAGCAAGTGGAGTTGTCGACACATCCCACCACTTCACTCCGTATCATTAAACTGGAAGTCAGTGCAGCAGACCAATCCTCGACCATCATCTTATATTTGACAGGTGCCAGTGAGACACATGCCAAACATACTCAGATTTCTGCTCAACGTGTCCAGAAGACGCTAAATTTTATCAGCGTCCTCACCTAGCAGGAAAATGCCATCTGCGTACTCCAAAAATGCCAAATGACCTCCAAGGAGTAGATAAATCTCCGTGATGTCATGTGATGTCCGTGATGTTATGTTATTTAGAGCATCTATAACGAAATTAGATGGAAACGATGATGGCGGACACCACTAGTTGTCGTCAATTCTGATGACAACTCTCTGTAAGCTCTTACACGGCTGCGTCAGTTCGATTAGACACGTTTGATTAAAATCAAATTCTCGATAGGTACTCCTTTCCCAGTCAGACACTGGCACAACACCTCACGCTCAACAGAGTTGAATACCGCCTTCAGGTCAAGAAACATGGCAAGTGTTGGACTGTGTTCCATAACCGCTCGAAAGGTGGTTTGATCGACGCACCCTCATCCAGATCTTAAACCTGTCTGATTTTCTCGAGCTCTAGTTAGGTGTTGGATAACTATGGATGCTAGGATCTCAGACATAATATTAGTCTACCGAATGAGCTTTCTGCTATGCCAACACCTGCATGACCGCAAGAACTACTCGTCGAATTTCCAGAAACTCAAAGGGTGAATTTTGTGGATTCCCTATATTGGGCTGGAGAGGTTAAGTCAATAACCACACTTAGGTCCTGTTAGCGTCGAACAAACACAGCACACATCCATGTTCCGAGTTTCTGGAGTTTTGGTCAAACAACCTTGTTGGCCAAACATTTGACGGAGGGTACGGACATTGAAGGCTGTAATGTGTAATTTGTAGTGTGGTTTAAGGAAACCAGTGATGCTGTTCTATGGGCTCAGACCGTTGTCAAACTCTGCAGAGCTAGAAATTAAAGACGATGTAGGATTGTTAATTGAGAGACGCGAAGGAAGATTAAAAGGTAAGGATGAGAGAGGTGGATAGTAGTCTGCGGGAGCATGGGATGCTGAGTTACATTGAGTTGAGATAGTTTTCTGGATTCACCGTATGGTATCTGATTGTTGCCTGTTAGTTACTTTCACTAGAAACCTACTAATTTTAATGGTATGAAAATCGAAAAATTTATTTATTTTCCAATTATTTTGTGTTTTGATACTGTAAAATACTCTACAGGTTTGAATTGTGGTTTTGAATATGTTATCTATCGAACAAACATGATAAAATCTAAAGTGATGTGGTTATGAAAATGATACATGAATACCAAAATTTTTTGATTTATCGCTTCAATTAATTTGAGGGTATTTGTCAATAACACTCTGTACTGATATTCAGGTCTCTTGATTATATTGTGTTATCTGAGTTGGGTTGTTTAATCGTAGGGCTTTCATCGTTTTTCTAGATGACATCATCAGCACTCACTTCAATATAAAGTGAGCCGTGAATATCCCTCCGTGAGTGATTTGGTAGCTTGTCCTGACGAACTGGTTTGTGATAGGTTGTTCCCTTTGACTATTGTGTCATTGACTACATAGATTTTCTTGTTGGCTGTTCCTCTGCTTGACCTTTGTCCTTTCTGTCGTCTATCGATTCTCTTACTGGTTGATAGATTGGGTATATGTCTGTACATTTACTGATTGCTGACTGATCTTAATCCTAAGCTTCTAGGAATTCTCTGATATTCTTTGTGTTTCCTGTGTCCAAGATTTCTAAATTGTTAACAATGAATTCATGTCCATAGTTATGCACGCGCATTGAAATGAGCGATGAAATGTCGTGACGTTTGATAGCCAATTGGTGTTCATGTAGACGACGAAGGCGAAGTGGGCGACCACTTTGTCCAATGTAGTGTTGATCACAATTATTGCAGTTGATTTTGTAAATATTTGATTTGTCTGCTTTGGCTGTTGCGTCCTTTTGGTTGGCATAATATATAGTTTGAAGGGAATCGTTGGTTTTATGAGCCAAAACTAGAATCATCGCTTAACACATCAGGATTAAACGAGGACACTAATTAAGAAATATGGCAAACAACTGTACCACTAACCAGGCAGAAGAGATATCACGCTCAAACGAACACCCAATAACAGAAAACAATAAGAAGACTGAAAAATAGGAAAGATATCTTTATACTTCCAGCAGACAAAGGACGCACCACTGTAGTCATGGACAAGGAAAATTATATCAAGAAGGCAAAGAATTTACTGAAAAAGGAAAATGTTTATCAGCCACTTGAAAATAACCCTATCCAACAGTTCGACAACTAGATCAACAAAACCATGAACAAACTCTTCAAAGCAGAAGAAATAACAAAGTAAGACAAATGTGGAATGAAGTCGAATGGACCCGTCTTTCCTTCAGTTTTACGACAGATCAAAACTACACAAACCTGACATCCCTCTATGACCAATAGTCTCAATTCCAGGAACTCAAACTTACAACATATCCAGAGAACTTCGGAGGAAACTAAAATACCTTGTTCAATCAGGCGGATACCCCACCGAATTACGAACAGAATTCTTAGAAAACGAAATAATGGTATCCTTCGACGTCACTGCATTATACACACCAACAGAACTGCAATTGGCCAAGGAAACTATATTCCTCCTGCTCACTGAAGACATAAACCTTTCAGAACGCTCAAAACTTAAACTTTCAAGTCTAATGGGACTGATTGATCTTTGTCTGACAACATACTTCCAATTTAATGGCAAGATATACAAACAGATGCAAGGAACTCCAAGGGGATCACCGATATCCGGACTAATTGGAGAAGCAGTGATGCAGATAATGGGAGCCATTATTTTACCCGTGGTCAAACCAAAAATTCGGATTTACCAAGCGGACGATACTTTTGTCATAATTAAAAAATATGATTTAGAAAACACTTACAGTTTGATCAACAACGTTTTCAATGACGTCAAATTCACAGTGGAGAAGGAGTCATTTTGGAAGCAACAAAGTAACGGATGTCGAATTGTTATTCAAGTTAATGAATAATTTGATTTCACGAGAACAAGAAGGTCATGGGTTTGATCCTGGTAATAGTAAACGGTTTGTATTGACTTCGCTACTGTATAGCAACATCTGGTTTTCATCTATTCTGTTTATACTAATTACTGTGAAAACGATTTAAAAATACCAACAAGTTTGTTTCTTCGGTTCCTGTAATGGCTCATGTTTCTGCAGTAAATAACGTATAAGCCAGGAGGACAAAAGCATCGTAGGTAGGACCTGAAATAGTTGTTTATCGGTTTAATTCACATTGTTTCATCTTAGGATGAGAATAAATCAGAAAAGAAAAGCGAAAAAGTTCAAGCAATAGCATCAACAATAGTAAGAAATTAGACGCAAATAAATGTGAATGAAATAAACACAAAACGACAAGGTTTTTGTTATTTATCATAGAGTAAAAAAAAATGACTGACTATGAATCACATAACTAAAGAGCATGCAACTATCCCTTTTGATTGTCTCATATACCCCATTGATGAGAATATACTTCTTTATGTGGTTGAGATCAGCAATTAATAACTAAGCAGAATGATCATGTTCCTTGTTTTAACCACCTCAAGATTTATTTCATCTCATTCTTACTGAAGTTACAATAATACATTGATGCAGGTAGGGACTAAACACGTATAACACATGTAGATAGAATAAAATTTTTATTACTTTGTTTACCTCGCTTACCCAGCTTTGTCACTTAACTTCAAAAGTTCCAACAAATGAGCGACGTTGCGAAGAGATCGGTGTTATTGAACTGTTACATTTATTTCGCCATACGTGTTCCCTCACATTTCCACTGAATAATTACCCCCTTATCCACGGGATTACAACAAGGAAGTTCAGAGCTTCGTATAGAAGAGACAGACTTAGTTGTAAATGTGTAGTTCATTGGTTTAAGCACTTGACTTCCACGTAATCTCCAGCCTGGTAAATAGTATAACAAACCATAACACATTAGGTGTGACTCTATGCCTGCACCTAGCGACTGATTTGCATGCAAACTGAATCTAAACCGTGTGGTGAGCTTAGTTTTATTACGTCCCATTAATAGTTAAACTATACTTTGAATCTGTTGTTCATTTATGTCTTGATTTTTATAGTAGAAAATGCTTTTGTTTATTAGCCCAGTATCTCTTCCTATTATTCTGCGACATAATTTTCTCCTTCGTGAACATGGAGGTCGTTTGGATGTAGTTGTCGTACCGAAAACAATGGGTAAATGTGTAAGTAAACTTTGAAAGTATCCAATCTTTTTAAAAACACTTATTCGATGTTTCTTTTGTTTACTGTTACTTCATAAATTATTTTTACATACCCATGTACTCATAAATGGTGACAGGTACGAATTCATTAACACTGTTGGTGCATTTAAGCAGTTAAAAGGAATGATGATTGTTCACTTGTTCATGCTCACTGTATTAAGGAATGTTTTTCAGCCTTTTAAAACACGAAGTAAACCTAAGAGTGAAATGACCGAGTGAATAATAAGAATTCAGTTTGGAGATTTGTGAGGATTTATTTATTGATTCTATGTTGGTATTCATCATGGACTGACATAAGTTGGTTAAACATTGGGAGCCTCTAAGCACTAGACAGCTGTTTCATCCTAGTATAGGACTCCTCATCAGTGCTCACCCACATCCCCACCAGAGGTCGAACTTAATACCTTCAGGTTCCATGGCTAGCAAACTAGCCTTGAGCCACTAGGTTGGAATTCAACGCTCCATATTTCCTACCTGTGTTAGTGCACGATATAGCGCTATCTCCATCCAATGCCGCCGATTTCCTATCAAAGAGTATATTGAGTAAGTGGGCCTTATGAGCGATATCGGAATCATTTATGCTTAAGTTGAGCTCGATAAAATTAAACTCGTGAAAACTAGGCAGGTTCTAAATCTAGATGAATATTCGCTGGTCTTGCTTTCATCGTTCGACAGGTTTTGGAACACATGCATACATATCGGCACCCGTCACGTGCCATATTTCGTGAACTGAAGGTGGCATTCGACTCCCTACTGAGAGGTTCTGTGATACCGTCTAACTGTGAAGAAAGTACTGCTCAAGTGTATATCGTTGATCAAAGCTGCCCAACAGAACTCATGCAGCCGTATAAAAGCTTACAGAGAGTTGTCGTCAGAAGCGATGACAGCCAATGGTGTCCTTCAAAGATACTCACTGTCACCATTCTTGTTCATCGTTGTTACTGACGTGCTGTTGGACATAACCCCCTAGATGCCTCCGACTTTACAGTGATTCATCTACTCCCATAACGATACCTGATTGAAATATAGAACGCAAACGAAAATACTGATAGAATGCAGGGTCATATGAACGCCTTGAGCAGAAATCTGCGTTTGTTTGTCATGGGTTTCACACACTAAATGTAAGATTGTGCTTTAGAACTGGTTTGCAATTACTCCAAGTTTATGAATTGTGACTGTAGTGGTAGAATGTACTGCCCGCTTCACTTACTTGAAGATTTGTATCAGCCCGAATGGGTGGGTTGTAGACGGAATCCTAGCTCAGATACAAAAGGTCCGTTTGTCATTTGCCGAATAACTTTATCTCTAAAGCCGATGAAACGTCGAACTTCTTATTATTGCAGTCCATTCTGCCCTTTTATGTGACTGTGAGATATGGCTACTAAAAGTAAAAGGTATGAAGAAATTACAGGTCTTTGAATACAGGTGTCTTCGTACCAGTTTTCGCTTGCGGTGGAGTCACCATGTGAACAATGTCGAAGTTATGTGTGGGATACTGGACCAGAAAGATGTCAGTCGTTGATGTTGTAAACTTTCAGCGACTGAAGTAACTTGAATATGAAGTCTTTGGATGTTTGTTCGGGTGTTGGAGAGAAGTGTAGCCTGTCACCCTAGAGTCCTTAAGATAATAGGAATGAATGGTTGCAGACCATTTTTGACATGATTGAAAATCGATAACAATGGCGAAGATTTGTTCACTCACTCTGGTGTCTTCAAAGTTTTAACCTTTGCACTAACCTTCATTTTTTATTCACTCCCCTCCCATAAACTTTCTTCTACTACAATGTTACTTTTCCTATCCATTTTTATTCTTTATGTACCGTAGACGACTGTTTACGTTAGCGTTTATTGCGAGTTGCTGGCATTAAGAATGCTTCTTTTAACATCAAATTAAACAGCTGTTTCTGAAATCAGTTACTGAGTTCATAATAATCAGTGAAAAAGATAAAAGCTTCGGAAAAAGTATAAAATTTGAGAATGTAAAAATTATCAAGATAAGTTTTAATATAATCCCAATATTTTTAGAAAAGTGAAACAAAGTTTTTGTGAACGTTTCGATTTGTAATTTACAACTTGAAACAAACTCAACGTTTAAATCCTTTGAGGACATCCGTAACAACTATTATGCGTATATTTATTGTGTAAAACCTGTTTCTAGATATGAAAATGGTTGAGGATTCACTTTAAGAAATATGAAGATGACAAAACTAAAGTGGAGTATAATGATGATCGTAATGGTGAAGTAGTTACTAATAATTCAAGACGTAGAAAATCGAAAAGTAAGACCCTTGAATATACTCTTGTTAACAGAGTTCAAACCTTAATTGGTAAATTATCACCACCTCTGTCGTGTAAAAGTTTTTTAATAGCTTTTTTAGTGAATGTTCCAGGCTTACTTAGTAGACTTGTCAAGTGGTAGTCGTCATTTTGTGGTCTCTGTTGAGACAATATTGATTACCTTTTGTGATATAGTACTTCTTCACAGTTGTTCATGTTCAAATGATAGATATTGGTACTTGTTTATCTTAACTTTGGTAGGTTGAAGGTGTAAAGCTTACTATTCAATTGCCACCAGAAGTTTTAAATATCACAGCATCTCCTAATGTTGGACGAACTAGTTTTGATATGACAACAAAACTATTCCAATGGGAAATTGGTCGTATTGAACCAAAATCTGTCAATCCTTCAATGAAAAGTACTGTAAGTTATATCCCTTGTGAATATTAGTTTAAATATGTAAACACTTCATAATTTTCAGTTTCTGCAATTATTTTATTTAGCGTAACTTTTATTTTACGCATATTGTACTCACATGATTCATTACTTCATACGGATTGTTTGCGTGAAAAGTTGCTTATAGTTTAGTAAAACTAGAACAGCCAACTATTAGCGCAGACTAAACTGAGTTCATTTTATTTCGTAGTTTTTTTCAACTACTGGCAACCAAAAACAATTTCAATATCAAAGTACATAAAATATATAATTCACACTTTAATTATTTCGATAGTAAAGCGTTGTCTTTAAGGGATATAAAGATTAATGGGCGTAAGGAATAGCAATAGAGATAGACAATTGTAATTTTGCAGACTACTAATAATGCTTGTCATTTATAAGAAGAAAGTTGCAAAGATAATATCCAAACGAGTTTTCTAGATAAGGAGGACCAAGTCATAGAGTATATTGCTGTTATAAAGTGTAAAACAGTTTAAAATAAGCAGAGGAATCAGATGAGGAATAATGAAATATGTAAGCCAAGGATTTGAAGTGAAATATGATAAGGATTAAACTGGTAATAACAAATAGTTATGAAATGATTATTAGTAATGAGTAATTAATTACGCAACCTTAGTATAGGAAGAATAAAATAGTTTTTTCTTCTGAATACACAAGTTCGATTTAATTCCTTGAAAAACCACTGCCTTGGCAAAACAATGAATTGAAGTTCATCGGTTTGCGAATTACCTTAAATGATTTCAGGTTGTCAACATCAAATTCATTATCCTGAAGTGACTAGTTTTAACACGTTAAAACAGTCAATGGTTAACTGTTGTTTTTTTATTACGGTTATACAAGACGTTTCAATCTTTCATTTCTTTCATAAAAAGATAATTAGAAGGTTATGTTTTATTCCAGTTTATTTACACTACTATGCACTCAGTTAACAATAGTTAAATTCGTTATCAGTTTTGAATAGCATTTATCAACTTACTTAGTGTAAACCCTTTTCGATAGTTTAAGCAATGTGGAAAATATAAAAATATTCTGGTGGTAAGTTTCTGTTTATGAATTATGATTATTGTGCGAATTTCTGTATTGAGTCATTTTGAGACAATCCACATATCGCATCAACTTTTTATGCGTATTCAGAAGTCTTTTAGTGGTAGATTGCTTTTTCGATATTGTAGCAACTGAAACTGTGAAGCTGTCTACACATTTGACTGATTTGTGGAAATTCTTCTACAAAAGTTGATTCATAAACCAATTTTAAATTCTATCCACTTTTTTACTCTTTACATCATTGTAGATCAATTTAGTTAGTGGGTTTACTACACTACCGTCAAATCCTGTGATACTTGTTGAATTCTGCATTCCACAGTTTGTTGCATCTGGACTGAAAATTGCTAGAGTTGACATCTATGGAGAGGTGTGTTATCGTCATTTTTATTATGGTGTTTATGTTACAGAAAACATTATTTTAACGAAATTTTACACTCATTATAAGGATTAATATATGTACAAAACGTGGGCACTGTGGTAGACTGTAATTCCATATTAGATTTACAATCCCATTTTAGTCTGTTTATTAGAAATGTCACACAGTAAAACAGTATCATCTACTGGATAGCGTTTCGAACACAATTTATTGTCCATATTCATATCACGTGACTCTACAACTTCGAAACAGAGTTTATATATTCCTAATTTTCTCTCCTTCTCTGTGATGACAAGGGTAGTAGGACTTTCCATATATCTGGGACAGGTGTAGAATCATTTCCATTGCATATATTTGGTGTTGATTCGATAAACAAAGATTCGGTTATCAATCTCTCCCTCCACCCAACTAAGTTAGTTTTCAACACTGTCGCTCTATCCCACTCTACTGTGTGACTGTGTGTGATTGCGTGCAGTGCTGTAGCCGAGCTTTTCTCTAAATTTCTTAACTTGTTATGATCTACTAATCTTAATTTAGCTAAGTTTTTGTGCTCTGTTATTCTAATCACTCCTGGTCGACTACTTTGACTTATGTATTCGACTTCGCAATCATTGCAAGAAATTTGGTAAACCGAATTATTATTCTTAATTGCATAAATAGCATCTTTTAACCTACGAAGCTTGTTTCTAAGCGAGTTTGTCGGTTTGAATGGCACTTTCATCCCAGTCTTATTGAGATTTCTTCGTAATGCTTCTGAGGTGCCTTCCTTGTATGGTAACAACCCTGTCAGCATTATTACCATTAGTAGTAGAATTATTATTAATTACACCCGTGTTACTGCTACTACCGCTGCTAATATTTTTCTTTCGATTTCTTATGAATTTATTTATAAATTTTGATGGGTAATTATTGAGACGCAAGGTATTCTTGATGTGTCTAATTTCTTGTCGTAGATTTTCCGGTCTACTAGTAAGCTTTTTCACCTTATCACTTAGGCATTTAACTAAGCCTACTTTAACTGAAATGGGGTGGGAGAATTCGAAGTCTAAGTAGCAATTCGAATGGGTAGGTTTCCTATAGACAGTTGTATCTAAACGTCCGTCTTGTGTTCGTTTAATCTTGCAATCCAACATTGCTAGCTCACCTACTTCATTTTCTAAGTCACAGGTAAATTGGATTGCATTCACTACTGAATTTATATGTGACAAGAACCTATTGATGTGTTCCGATTTCAGTATTGTAAACGTATCATCTGCGTATCGGAACCATATCTTTGGAGTAGGACTAAATGCTTGAAGGGCCACCTCTTCCCAACTATCCATAAGTATATCTTCGACGATAGGGGATATTGGTGATTCCATGGCAACACCTTCAGTTTGTTTATATATTTTATTTTGGAACTTAGCAACTGTAGATGTCAGACACAATCGTACTCCTAGTATGAATCAGTCGATCAGCACCTTAGTTCGATGCGTAAGTTCTTTGTTATCTTTATGCCCATTTCTAACTGCCTCTAGAGCCATATCTATCGGTATATTTGTGTAAAATGGTTAGTTTTGACATAACTAGCCTTTACACAAATATACCGATCGACGTGGCTCTAGAGGCAGTTAGCTAAATCAAGATTAGTAGGTCATAACAAGTTAAGAAATTTAGAGAAAAGCTCGGCTACAGCACTGCACGCAATCACACACAGTCACACAGTAGAGTGGGATAGAGCGACAGTGTTGAAAACTAACTTAGTTGGGTGGAGGGAGAGATTGATAACCGAATCTTTGTTTATCGAATCAACACCAAATATATGCAATGGAAATGATTCTACACCTGTCCCAGATATATGGAAAGTCCTACTACCCTTGTCATCACAGAGAAGGAGAGAAAATTAGGAATATATAAACTCTGTTTCGAAGTTGTAGAGTCACGTGATATGAATATGGACAATAAATTGTGTTCGAAACGCTATCCAGTAGATGATACTGTTTTACTGTGTGACATTTCTAATAAACAGACTAAAATGGAACCAACCAACCACAGTGCCCAAGTTTTACTGCTACATTTTTGGTTTGTTTATTTGATGTATATTTCAAAATAATAGTGATCGCTTTGTCACTGTATAAGCAAGTTTTAATTGATCTCTTTATTACGAGCAGTGTTTTGGTACGATTAGGAATTTTCAGCATGTTATATATATATATATATATATATATATATATATATATATATATATATATATATATATATATATATATGTACTCCTTAACATTTCGAATGGTGTCAATATAACAACTTATAGAAAGGATATAAATAACGAGGAAAGTCATACATTTTCAGTTAGACTATTGACCAGAGAATGTTTATTGTTGCAAAGTTGATAAGTAGGTTCTGTAATATCGGGAATAGTCATGCGCTTCATAGTCCGTTGCTATGCACCGTGGTGCTTTCCCTCAGTCTGGGTATCAACTTGTAGAGCAACAGGTCGTAAGGATTTCAAAAGTGCGCGAGAGTATATAGTATGATTAGATGAAATAAATGAATGATTAAACAATGTGGAAAGGAGGAATTTGGTGCAGTATATTCCGTGATAAAAGAAGATAGCCCAAAGTTCAAACAGGCCGCCGTATATTGGTATGAATATGAGCTATAATTTATACTCGAAGCGTCGTCAAGTAAGTAATACTATATCACTATGTGTTATGCATAAAATAAACAGATCTAATATTTTAAGGATGTTTTTATGCTAATCTACCTTGTTATCCTAATTAGATGCTCACTTATACTTGACTTTCGCACCTTCAAGCACATTGGGATTTTGTCTCGATTTCTTATGAATGTTCTATCAACAAATAGCCTTAAATTTTTCCCTTAGTGCTTTGAGTTCACGTATATGCATTATTGTCGCGTAGACGTAAAATTTAGCACAACATTTTTCTACTACTTGTAAGTACCTATTGTGGTATTTTTCAAAATGAGTCACTTTACTTTCTGTCAATGTGTGTTTATCCAGAAGGATTTTCAATCTTTATTAGCTATACTTTTTTGTACATCTACCTCATTTAGTAGATAATATATCTTGTGAAGATATTCAACTTATTTGTAATCTGGCTACATGCACAGATTACTTGGTCCGATCAACCATATTAAGTGTCGATAAATATATGTCAAGTTAGATTTATAAATGTATATCAGAAGACAGATAGGAGTAGTGTATCTTCGGTATATGTTTCGATACGGTTTATGACATTATTTTAAGCTTTCTTTCCAATACTCATAAATGAGATCTATCGTTTAGGGTGTTTGACTCCAGGTTGTATCCACTACAGATATTGACAGTGACTTGTCAGTAAAATAAACCCATACTAGTATGTATGTGTATGTATGTGTGTGTGTACGACGGGCAAGAGCATTTCGAAAAAAAATTAGCAAAAAAGTAGTCCCAGTATTGTTTGACCAATACATTAGTGATAAATTGATCTGACAACTTCCGAAGACCAACTGTTCATCTATTGTTAAGCCTACATTTTAAGTTTTCGTTGTTGTACTTTGTAGTTTACGCATGTCGAATTTAGAACGATTAGTCCCTTTTACGAAGTTGGATAACGTAATTAGAAGACGTAGATTTTCTGAAAAATGTAATGTGTTTGCCGCTATACATTTCGAACAGTCTGATGACACATTTACTTGTTAAGGCATTTTATATGAAAACTGGAAGATAGGGAAGGACAAATGTGACATAAAGAAACTTAATGATACGAAAGATAATGAAGGGAGATTGATAAGATTTGAAGATAACCTTAGTAGCACGATAAGACAGGGTACGTTTAGCGTAAGAAAAAACTGTTTTTGAACACAAAGGGGGCCTGAATTTACGTATGTCTAGCGCTTCAACAAACCTAAGTCTGCACCCCTGATAGTTTCTATAAAAAATTGATAACGCTGTTTTAATATCGATCTTGTGGCCTATGTCGATAATATGTTTTGGAATGGACGATAATGGGTATCTATCATCTGCGCTTATCGATTTCTGTGAATCCAGCTGCCTTTGTAGCCATTTCGGTACATATTCCTCCACTCTCAAGTCCATATCTCGACTACGCCTCCCTATCTATGTGTCCGCACATACAATGTAAATTGATAAACGTAGTGGAATGTGACGCAATCATTTATATAGTGCTGAAGTTTGGGTTGCAACATGCATTTGGTCTTCCCACCTACTATAATCCCAGCTGCATAATATGTTTTCCTAATAGTAGACCTTAGCCTTCGTTTTAAAGTTACGCCCTAAGATTTCCCTCTACATGGTAACGCGAGGTAAACGCATTTCTTCGAAACAGAATGCAGATTAAGTTTCAACATTAGCTGATTTTCGCAACGGTCTATGAACCTCAACAGAGATCCATTTTCAGGTAGTACTAGTCCATACTCTTATTATTCCCCCTTTATTATCTTTCTTATTATTAAATTCCTTTATATTATATTTGTCCTTCCCCCAATTTCAGTTTTCATATAAAATGCCTTAATAAGTAAATGTATCTTCAGACTGTTCGAAATATATGACGGGGATACATTACATTTCTCAGATAGTCTACGTATTGAATTGTGTGTTTTTCAATTATTTCCTCTTTTTTGTGATCGTTGATCGTATATATCTTTTTTTCCAGAAATATAAACCATTCAAAGGAGTTAAGTATGCTACAAAAGCTGGGCAGTACGAAGTACGTACGTAGCAGCTTATCCGATCAAGAAACCAATAGTTCATTGTCAAGATTGATAATATGCACATATGTTTGACCATCGTTAAGCATTTATGTCCAAAATGTAACCTTTTTCTGTTGTTTATTTTGTTACTTTATCTGATCTTCGTGTTTGAAAGCTTTTTTATTGGTAAATTTGATCACCGTATTTCTATCTGTTACCTAAGTATCTTCTTGCACAAAGTGGACAGTGTGTCACTTTATTTTGTGACTTGCAAAATTCATTTTCGTTGTGATTACCATTCAAATGTATCTTAAAATGTTCAAGAATTAGGAATAGTAATAATAATAATTCCAATAAAAAAATTTCTGATTCGTTTTATGAGATGCAGTAAATGTTCGAATAAACTCACCCCTCAGTCAGCTGTTTGTTTTATCCGCTTAATTTGTTTAGTTTTTTAGTCAGAATGTTTTTTGTCGTATCATTTGCATACAACACAATGAACTTATTTCATGAAGGTCCTTTTTTTATTTCAAACATTATAGACTGAATTGGAATCATCCTAACTTAGATTTCAGTGTTTTTAATACAAATATTTGGTAAATAGGATTTATCATACTCTTCATGCAACCTTCCTAAGCTTCTACTCGCTAACTGCCCATTCACTTGTGTAGCGTCAGAACATTCTTATAGCATCCTTTAAGCAAGCTTAGAGACCATTCAATCTGAAGGTATTTCTCATAAGTTACTGCATGGTCCATGCACTTTTATCCACTGGGACCTTTCTTTTCATGTTTTCTTACCCATCTTTATCATATCTCTCGTCTCTAAATTTTTTGTTATATTCATCGATTTGTTAAAGCTTTACGTTACTTGGATGGATTTTCTTTTGTTACCTTTCCTTGGAAAAATTACAATTTTCGCTTTAAATTACGTCTCTGTTATCATTTGTAACTCTAATATTGCCCACTTAGTCTAAACCATAATATTGCTTTCTATCCGACGACAAAAGTAATTGACTTATTCTGTTCAATATCTAGCTTATTACCAGCTCTTTGTAGCTGAGGAGAAATATATTTGAGGAAATTGCACATTACCTCAGTATACTGGCGATAGTATCCCTATTCCTCTATCACACACTTTTTTAGGAGGTTAAGACGTTGGGAAACAGTACAGAAATAGTTTACCGTCATTCAGTTAGAATGTTTCTATACGACTGGTCCAGTTTGTTACTGGTCTGTTGCAAATTTGGGGTGTAGTGAACTGATATGAAATATAACCTATTTGTTGTTGGCCGACAACACAGTGGTGCTAAGGTGTTTTTCCAACGGTAAGTGACTCAGTCAGTTGGTATCTAAATGAGATCTAAAATTACTGCATAACACATGAAGGTAAAAGACACTAAGATGAAAGATGGAGAAATGAGGAAGAAGTTGGTCACAAGTAACAGGATGTTGTAAAAAACAATGGAATTCGGTATGAATGTAACGTATGAATGCATTTTCGCTACTGAGATCGATTCTCACCCCTATCACCTAGTCTTCAGCCACTGGTTTTGGTCGTCATATGGACCCCAACTTGGAATTTTATATTCCTCTAAACGGCTCAGATCGATAGTTAGAAACTTCATTAACTAATACCATGTGTTGGTCTGGCATTGCATGACGATTTGGACGATGACGGCATGCAAAGCGCATGCCGCAACCACCTGCGATAGTGAAAGTCCACAAATTTATAAACTGATTTACTCCTTTTGCTTAAGACTTTAAGCATAACTTGTATTACCAATGGGATGTTTCAGTGACACGCGACCAATACTACGAAGGTGAGGGTGGTCAAACAGCTGGATTCTCGCGTCGTCTACCTTTAATGACCATGTTTTATATACTTAGAGTAGGACGGAGAAAACTGCTGCAGAGCACGGCGGTCGGATATTATGTCGACGCTTTAGGTGGAGTAAGTTGGCAAACGCTAGTTGAGCATTTTGTATTCCTGTAGAGATTTTGACAGTCACTGACTTCGAGGTTGGTCCGATTTCACAAATAAGTGAAGTGGTCAACGCACTCAGTTACTTCACTCTCTATTGTTAGACGAGGCAGCACCACAGGCCAGTTCTGGAGCAATACATTTTGCATTTGCTTGGTGAGAGACGTATCGCAAAAATACTCAAAGTATCTAGAAGACTGCATCTTGTCATGGTCTTCACCTAACATAACTATGCTTTATGCGAACTCTGAGTATACTGAGGTGCCTCTTTTGACGAGGTCAATTTCCGTAAGATCAGATGAGCAGAGTGAGACTTTCACATGTATTTCTATAACTAAGTTAAATAAAAATTGGGAGGGCGGGCATCCTTTACGGATACTTCGACTTACACAAATCACCTTTGCGTGTAAGACGCTTACAGGTGTTTGATTATAAAACCTTCAACAGGGTAATGTACTTACTTGGTATTCATTTTGTTGACTGACACTTCCATTAAACTAATCTAGCGATGAAGTCGAGTGCCGCCTTCACGTTAAAAAATACAGTTGGTGTCGGTCATCGGTAAGTGTGCCTGTGTTCGAATACCTGGAGGAGTGTATATATCTGGTTAATGCACTCACGACCGGGTCTAAAACCTGCCTGCTTTTTCATGTTTACTGTTCCTGATCTTCGCTCAGATGTCGAATGGTTTTATGATCTTATGTAACAATTAGTAAGTGTTATGCCGATTTTGATTAAGGATACCGCAGATTTAAAAGTCATTTCATAGCGTATTCTGCCTGGTGATTATACAGGGTAATTATCTTCAATTCTGTTCGACACTCAGCGTATCACACCTTCAGCAGTGCACTCGCCTTGATAAGCAAAACACCGTTAACACAAAAAGGGTAAAATTATATTTTCAGCTTGTCCTATAGTGTTTGCCTATTTAGATATCATAGAATAAATCTGTATGAAATCTAACTTCGTGTTAGAATTGAACTGTAAACTAACTTTTGAAGTCTTCTTAGCGTATAAGTTTTGTACACAAGTCACTAAGTAGCATTTTAATTCGAAGTTTCTAGCTACCAATAGCTAGGACAAGCTAATAGATTGGTGGTTCATATTCTGCTGAGTGAATTCTTCTGATACTCGTAAATTTCAAGTGCATCATATACTACGCAACCAAGTATTTTATAATACCAGTGATTGGATGGCTGATTTCGTTAACCCATGCTTCCCTAACTTAATAGATAAATGCCATATCAAAATGATACTCACTAGTGAATGTTCTTTGTCTTAGGTTGGAATTTGTAGAGCGCTTATTCTTTTGAGGACGTGTACTGTCTATCAGTTTAGTGGGGAAATCTTTAAAAAAACGAAGGAAAAGTCTATAGTGTTTACAGGTTAAAAGCCAGTCATTTTCATTATTTAGTTGTTTGCTAGTTTTCCTTCCTTAATGGTTACCTAGTTTGGAAATCAGCATTGTAACTGTTCATCTATTGTTCCATTATTGGTCTCGTACACAGGCACACTTGACAGGTGCTCTGTTCACAATAACTCTACTGCTATACTTTACTTCGATAAGTCTTATTGGATTGGTGAAGTAAATACAAATAACCTATTCAGACTGCACAACTCATGATGATCATGGTAGAGGAGGACTGAATTGATTAAATATATCATCTGGGAATCCTTTAGTGTAGGTATATGCTACATATAAGACTAAACTTCTGAGAAATAAGAGTGATCTTTACCTATATCTTTATACAGAAAAAAACTGATGAATCTTTGTTAGCAATGATCAGATAGTTGAAGCGTATTGAATTATTCAATCACCTAACTTTCTTCTATGCGCTACTTGAGTATTTGTTTAAGTTTAAAATCCAACGGTCTAACATGCTTAAAAACATCAATCAAGATTTTTCTCAAGAAAAATATTGTATCTGTATGCAGTGCATCAGTAAAATTAACGAATACAATACCCATTCTTTGAATAAATACATAGTTTCCTGTTTCACAGTAGAAAACAAAATGATGTTCTGATAATTAATGAGGCAAGGTAAGAAACCCAGTTGATTGGGGTAGGTAATTTCAAATACAATTGTCAGTATTTTCTTGATCCTAAATAAGATTGAAGTGAAATAAATCCATTCAAATATAACCTCAAAGACAAGCACAGGTTAGGTGTTATATTAGTTAATATCCTGTCTACTTGTAAACTGTCTAACTAATTCTGTATTGTGTAGTTAACCTAGAATTTGTATCAACAGCACATCTTTTCGCACCATGGCTGTCGCCGTTATTTCTAATACTCATTTCTTAACACTATTTTGATAGCTTGAAACTGATAAGAGATGTCGAAAGAATGCCAGTGAACCACTTAACTTTTCATAGAAATACCAGATGACTGAATCACTCTTTTTCGGAATATGTTTAGAAAAGCTTATGGATGCCCATTCTCCTACTGGGACGATTGGACGCACAGTTTTTATTTATTTTTTCGGTGAATATAAGTATATAGATCAATTATGACCTTCAGACTAATCATTTCTGTCATCATATTTTCTTGTTATAAATAGAAGAGGTGTCAATAATGTACAGAGCTTTTTGTACTTCCCAAAATAACAAATTTCGCTCATCGATTGAAAGTCTCCTAGGAAAGGTTTTTCCATTATTTACGAAGATACGCTTTGAAGGAGTAATTCACATTTTTTCAATACTTGGTACTTTATTTCTAAGGTAAGTTATACTGTTAACCCAACGACATAACCTTAGGCAGCGATCAACTTTTGCTGATGAAGTGAATGCTTAAAAGTCGTACTTGTAATTACGAAAACGCTATTCTATGCAGAGTAATTTGATGATATTCTCATTATATATAAAGTTATAATTTGTGAATATTCTGACTAAAACATGGCTTGTCATTCTTTCTTTGGATTCTTTTCGTATATGGTTTAACCTGAATATATGAATGCTACTGAGAAATTTCTGAGTGGATGTCCACTTCTCCGTAGCACTTACACAACATGCAGCTTGATTCAGAAATCATTATCAGATGTGCATT